TCTTTCATCCTTTACTTAACCACAAAGAACTGTGCAGAGCAGTTTTGTTCTTCCAAAACAACTGATATTATCCTAAATGCTCAAAGCAGAGTACTTTCCAGTATAAGCCAAATCCTGCATATTTTGCTTTTAAGTAATGTCACAGCAGATGCAAAACCAGTAGGATTCACACTGATGATTTCTAGGAAAGAAGAAAATCTCCAGAAAAACTAAAACCTGTGCTTTAGAAGCAAGAGACAAATAAAAAAAGTTTAATTCTTGTACTGAATTAAACCACATGTCTAACATTATGTTTATACATTGCAACATGTAATTTGTTGCTTTAGGATTTAAGACCTGCAATTTTGCACCCACACCTTCTAATATGCACCATAAACTGCCTTTTCACAATTTTACCAGCTACATTTAGGTGATTCTCCCCCAGCCCAATTCTCCAAACTGTCCTTCACAGCATTCCAATGAAAAGAAAATGTTCAAAGCAAGCAAAACTCGCTTCCCAGCAGAGGTTCTGTTGCATTTGAAAGGCTGTTTATATCAGTACTGGGAAGAAGAACCCAAGCAGCACAGGAAGAAACAGACACAGAAACATTACTGGGACATTCTCAGAACATACAGCAAGGGCTCTCTCTACTCACAGTGCTAGAAGCAGCCAACATGGACTGCAATTTGAAAGGGACACATTAGGAGGCCCAAAGTGCTCAAAACGGAAAAAGCAAAATCTTCAAGATTGAATCAAAGTCCACATGCAAATGTCTTTGTGATCCAATTCAGTGGGGTTTGATCTAAGTTTGTTTTTTGAGATTTAAACATCCTCTGACAAGGCTTAACCATGCAACTCCGATTGTGCAGAAGTCCTTAAATAAACTACAATTAGTTCTTACTACATGTATACACATACTAAAACTCACTAATCACAGATCCTGGGATACCAGAAAGATTGAAGTACTTACATGGACAAAAGTAGATCTCTCTGTTACAATTTTAACAGCTACAATGGTTTGAAGGAAATAGTCTTGCAAATACTATTTGAGTTACTCTATCAGACAGTGGAGAATTTTTTTGTTGTACTAGCCATAAAAGCTACAGAACTTTTGCCAAAACACAGACCAAGGTTATCTAGCCAACCAAAAAAAGCTTAGAAGAAAACATCTCTTTTAACATGGTGAAAGTATATGAAGCCTCTCAGTATCATACAAAACGATGCCTCTTTGAAGTTCATAAAGTCAACAGGCTCTTGCCAAGACAGAGTCACTACTGGTTTAAGCCAACACTCTCATTTACTAAGACTTGACTAGATAAACAGAAGCAATTCCCTCCCATTTTTTATACTTAAGTCTCACATGACCTTTTTAAAGTTCACCTGAGTACTGAAACAATCCATATGACTCCCCTCCAATATGAGGGGAGCATTTCATAAATGTTCTTGCAACTTTTAAGACTGAGATACTCACACTAATAATGACACTTGGCTACCACCAACCTCCAGGATGGTCAAGGTTGGAACTGGTAAGAATATTTCTCTTTCCTTTTTATGACACAAGAAGCCACTTTTTATCATACAGCACCAGATACGTTATTCCAATTCAGCACAGAACGAGAATCCTTACATGATCCCCTAGAGAAAAACATGAATGCAACCACTCAGCAGGAACACAGGTACTCAGCATTCAAGACAGTCACAACTTCTGACACATACACAGCACAAATGGGACTTCACAGAGGCTCCAACTCAGTTATTAACCTCTACCAGTCACTCAGCTTGCATCAACCTGCTCCAGCATTTGTCAGCAATTCATTAAACAGGACAGACAGGAACCTGACTATTAGACAAAGAGAAAAGTTCCTACTTCTTACAATTCCTGAAATAGAGCCTCAGCAGTGGTCTTCATACTTGGCTGCCACATCCATGCTCTGGGTCTTGTATACCCACAGCCCCAGTCATAGGTAAGGCAATGCTGAGTGGACACTTTTGGGATAACCAGATCCATGAGCTGTGTTCATCTCTCTCTGCCTCTTCACTCAATTCAGATTTGACCTTTTCTATAATCTTTCTTACCTGGATAAAGAAGGCAAAAAATACCTTTCCCCCACTGGAAAGAAAACACTTTGCTTTTTCAGTAAAAGTGTGTTATAACAAGATCCAGCAGCACTGGAGTTTGGCATTCATCTTCATTTAAACTAAAATCTCAAAACAACATATATTTTAGATATCAGTAAAATAAAAACCAATCAGTAAAACAAAGTGAAACTAAATTGTATAAAATCCTTATTATTCAAACTCCTGTAACTTTTATATAGCAGAAATACAAGTGTCACAAGTTGATGCAGTTTATAAACTCAAAGACTATAGAGATTGAAAGACCACTGAAATAAGCTGAAATGACATTCAGAATTCTGCCAACACTATGTTTTTGCTGCAGAAATCCTAGGTTCATGCTCTTCAAGGTGGATTTCAAGTGCTAAGGAGCAAATAGTACTAACTCAATCGGATAGTGAACTGTTTGCTGTGTCAAAGCTTTTTGCCAAACACATATATATAATTTTTCTTCTTGCTATATGGATAATCAACCCCAGATGGCAATTTACATAGGCAAAGCATAAAGGAATCCATGCACTGCTGGTGCTCTCAGCCTCAATCAGAGCAAGCATGGGCATTTGAGAATGTCACTGTTTATTTTTAATTGCTATGTCCCTCCTTTGTGCAGGTTCAAGCGGTCAAAGATGTCGAAGTCCATTAGTAGAACTGGAAGGTGATGCCACTTCATTTGGTCAGAGGGTTCTTCAAATTTAAAAAAAGCAGCTAGTTTGTAACGTCCCTAAATGTACCAGCTGTCAATCTCAGTTACCATTGGGTCAGGGCAAAAAAAGGTCAGAGAGAGTCATAAACCACAATGTGTTGTGAAATGTGCTTCCTCCGTTACCTTGTATGCCTGAGAAAGGTTTGACCTTTTATAGGTATCCTAACCCAGCTCAGCATGATGCTGGCAGGGGTAAGTATAACACACAGCTCAAATCCACAAACATTGCTTCCCTTCACTGTGCCTTGGTTTCTGTACCTGTGCAATGTGAAGGTGAATGTCCAGTTGTGAGCTGCCAAATACAAAACTCTGCCCACTGCTATTATCATTCAGAGGCATGGACATATCTATTTCACACACAGCAGTGGAAGGTTTAATTCATTAACAGCAATGGGAAAAATAACTAAAACTTTGAGGGAAGTTGTTAATGCCATAAGAACCAAATGATCTGGCTTTTCATTGCAAATAATGTGTTTATATGCTAAGTTGCCTGTCACTTCAGTGACTACTCTCCCAGTCACCTGGGAAGAAAGCCCACTAAAAAAAGTCACACAAAGTCTTTTTCTATCCTTTTAAACACGAATTTAAGTTATTTACTATATTTCTGTAATTTCTTCCTTCATATGGATTCTCAAAAAGCAGATTTATTCCTAAACATATTTCTTCAAAACATTCTTGGACTACAGATGAAAAGCAGAATAGTCATTTCCAGATATAATCTAGTGATGCATTCTTTCTTTGCAAGAAATAATTATTCTGCCCTGTCTCCCCCATCTCCTGGAGCACAAAATGACAGGAAGTTTGGCCAATGCTATGCCAAAAAGAAAGCAGTGAACTTGCTCTGCAAGGCCCTGGTTGGGCAGGAGCCATCTCCCACTCCTTATTACTTGTCCCTCTTTGAACCCCAAGCACAGGCAGGCCCAGGACTGAGAACAGGACACAAGAGCAAAGGAAAGAACACTGCCAAGTGGAAACCAGGAGAGGTTGCAATTATAGCTATAATCCCAGCAAGCATACTCTGTGCAGGAATTGAAAGCATGGTTCCTAAATAGGCTGCATGCTGTAAATAAGAATATAGGCAGTGAGGAACTCAGCTGGGAAAGCAGAAATGTCAGAGTACATATGGTACAAATCTCTTCTACATAAAGGACAGTAAGATATAAACTAGATGGCCACAGGTATCACTGAAGAGGCTGGCCAGAAATGAATTGTCTGCTATCAGCCAAATACTTCAGATGAAATCAGAATGCCTCATGTAGTCCTTCACTTGTCCAAACACTACAGTCAAAAATGAGAAAACAGCACGTTGACTCAATGAAATAGTAGGGTCCTTAGAGTAAAATGACTTGAAGATAATACTGACAATCAAAAGAGTCCCATCCAGGCTTGTTAGGCCAAAACCTGCCTGCCCATAGAATGTAATCAGTTGGATCCACTTTTAAGTGGTAGCTGCAAAATACTCCAAGTCTAAATTCATTTTGGGCAATTAATACTAAGGGAAAATCAAAGCAGTGATAATCAGCACCTGTGAAATGATGTCACATGTTCCAAGCATAAAGTCACTTTGTTTTCTTTTAAAGGATGAATATATTTTAAGGAAATTAAATAGTAACAACAGTTGAGCAGTTCAAAGGCCACTGGAAGGTCTCTTTGACTTTCCACGGGCTCTCTGAAGAGCCCAATAGCAGCAAGCCACCTACTGCATCCCAGCAGTACTCTCAGAACATGCTGACACAAATTAAAGCCTCAGCAAACAAAGAGAATGTGCATCAAGCATTTCAACGCCCTCTTCTTGTCATTTCCTTTGCTTTCAGATATTTCTGGAAGCCTACCTACATGGATTCTTTTGCAAACCTTCTCACTGCAGTGTATCTCAAAAGTAACCGCCTTCAAACCTTGTTCAGTCCTTGGGTACATCATATCTTGGAAATGTGCCCACTTTGCTTCTCTGAATTGAAAGCCTAACAAGCTAATCTAGATCAGTCCTCTCTTCATCCAAATAAACTACTGAGCAGGTAACTTTACTGACTGCCTTATTTAAAAAATCACTATGTCTGCTACTATTATAAGCTGGGTTATATAGGTACAAAAATAAAAATTGAAAATAATGGAATCATTTCAGATTGGACGAGAACACTCTCTTCTTTGTTGAGTGTCTCTTTCTGTCAGGAAAACCAGGAGGAATGAAAATGAGAGACTCACCTTCAGGGCAGGAATCTCCACATTGTCACCAAGGCTAACAGAGCCAGAAAGAATAGTCCCTGTCATCACTGTGCCTTGACCCTTGATAGAGAAACAGTGGTCGACTGCCATAAGGAAGTGTCCTGAGGGGTCTCTTGATGGCAGGTAAGCCTGAGACTTCAAGACCTGAAAAAAAAAAAGATAAAAGCAGCACCATGCCTGGGTGAAAAGTCATGACAGCAACACAGCAGAATCAGGCAAGTGGATGATTGATTGAACAAGCTTGCAATTTTACTGATTTCAGGCATCTCCCAATGAGCTTAGAACTCACCAAAGTCAAATTAACTGTGCATGCCATAGAGGGGCTGCACACTTAGCAGCAGGAACAGTTCGATTTTCTGCCTTAGAAAGATTTGGTGCTGCACATTTAGCTTGGTTAGCAAAACCTCACTGGCGATAAAGTTGCTGCCAAACTCAATATAAACACTGCAGCAAAGCAAAGAGAAAAAAAAACCTGTACATGTGTCATCTCCCCCTTTTTCATCCCTCTCTTAAAAGTACAATTTTACAGTGCATTTTGCTACTTCAGCTTTTTTGGAAAATGAACTTATGTACAGATATTAGTGTGCCATAAAGCCCATCACTGAATCCCTCCCAGAAAAACTAATACTGGGTTAAGTTTTCAAATTCAACTTCCCCTTCAGATTTTTTTTTTTGGGCTTCTTGAAGGATCAATCCATTAAGAAAAGTCACATAAGTACCATTTTCAAGAGAAATTCTCTGTATTTAGCATTTTTCTTTTGTTGACAAATATTACATTTTTTCAAATATATCATCAGACAAAAGATTTTAATTATATAAAGGAAGTCATGTACTCAGCAGTGCCTCAAAGGAACTGGTTCACTCCTGTCTCAAATCACTTTTGATCTCTCTTCTATCACCTGCATATACACTTGGTATTGCCTTTAACATCTGTTTTTAAGGTCAAAAACTTCAGTCCAAGCCCAGTTTGTAGTGGCAGAACAATGGAGTGTCTCTTAGGAAGGACAGAAGGGATAAAAGCTTCAAGTTCAATGGCAGGGCTCACACAGCATTTGCCAGCTCGTCTAATATTAGGTTTCAGTTGACACAACAGTTGCAGTTAGTGTTTCCTTCAAAGGTTTTAACCCTGGAGAACATCTCAGTAAATCGAACAGGAACCAGATAAAGGCAGAAGTAAGCACTTGCATATCTCATCTCTAGAAACTGCTGGGGGCAGATTGGTCCTGGCTAAATCTAGTCTAAGGCCATGCTACATCCTATCCCCATGCCCATCCTGACTCACAGGAGCCTGGGAGGTGACACAGCATCCAGTGCTCAGCAGCCCTGTGAAATATCTTGCCTTTATACAGTCCAGGCTGCCCAGGGCCAGGCATCCATAAATTTTTTGATGACTGATGCTGCACCCTAACTTCAGCAATTTACAAGTACTTTAAACCTGGCAGCATTCAAATCACAATTTGACAAGTCTTCAAAGAATAATGTCTTTATTTTGGGACTCTTTTCTGCTATCTGAACTAACAGCGGCATCCCTCCAGGGCAAAGATGTTCCTTTCCTTAAGCTAATCACAGAAAAGGTAACAAGTCTATTGCAAAGCTGCAAACTGCTCTCAGTTATTTTAGGTTTCCTGCCCTTCACAGTATAAACATCATGCCATGTAACTAAGGGTTTTGAACATCTGAGAATGGATGCTTTCATGTTGATATTATGTTCTTCAGTGAGTACCTCAATTAATTCAGAAATACCCAGGGGATTCTCAGACTCTGGGGCTTCTGGTCCACCAGGCTTTGCTGCAACAGCAACAATAGGACACCCAGCGAATCTGAAAGAGAGAAAGACATTCACCATCAGACCACACATGTCCTACACATATCAATATAAAGAACTTCCAGGCTCACCTGAAGGCTAGGAAACTCCCTAAAATTCCAATTTATCTGCTCTTCCCCCATTGTGACCGACAGTTTCTTCCTGAATTACCAGCAGACCAGCACTACTGGACTTCACTACGAAAGCTTCAGTCCTGTCCCACATTAGCTACTGATTCAATGCTGTGACAGTCAAATGCAAAATTCAGTTTATTTCAGAAGCTAAGGTCTGTTGTTACTCAGTCTTAATGCAGTGGTTTGCATCCAAAGTCATTTTACCTGGAGACTAGCACATTTTTAACTTTCATTAAACAATTAAAATTCTAACTGTAAAGTCATAACCTTCAAAACAGGAGCCAAATGCAAGATGCCTCATGATACCTACCTGAGTCTGCAAGATCTGTAGACAACAGAAAGATCTAAATCTACTGAAATCAAAGTCTGCAAAACTTGCAAAGGTTCAGAGAGAAGTACAGCCAGCTGACCTCAGTTTACCTTTTATCCTATAATTAGTTTTAATATTCAAGTCCTTAACTTACAGCAGCTTTTCTTTTTATTTTTTTTCTACAAATTCAGTCAGCAGACTTAACTTTTGCTCCCTAAAAGATAACCTAGTGTTTTCTATTGCATTTTTTCAAAAAACAGAATTAACCACATAAAACATATATTAAAGGAATGGAATAATGATCAGTAATTACACTAAAATTGATTGGTTCTCATAGGTACTTAATTCTTATGCAACAGATTCAGACCAAAATTAATTATTTTGGCCATCCTCTTGACACCCACCCTCCACTGATTTTCTCACAAAAGGGAGCAAACTGGAGGGAAGAGATGGTGCTTTGCTAAAGAAGAAATGTTATGTTCTATAAAGGGAGCTCCCTCAGTGACCCAGCTGTAACCAGGCACATGAGGTATTTTCTTGGTTTATATGCCATAAGCCTGAGGCATCTAAGGACAAAGGGTAATAAAAATGTGCACTGAAAATTCCTGTAATTAACCATAAAACCTTTGGAAATTCATTTTCATGCAAGTATTTCAGAGCATTGTATTTCCATAAACAGAAATCTGTGCTGAAGCAGATGCTTTACTCCTCTTCCCATACACCAGAACAAACTGGAGTAATTGTATAGTGCATTTGGAGGCACTTCTAAACACGATCCAGCCCTACTGCAACTCTTACTCTATCACACCAAATTCTCTCAGCAGAATTTAGATCCTGCTGGACAAGTAGAGAAGCTGATATGCAAAGATTTTTTTTTTAAATAGAAATTCCATTCATAGAGACAGTTTGCTTTTAGTTTTAGTATCAAGTCACAGAAAACAGTTTTGATTAGGTAAATTCACAAGTATCAAACTATTCAAATAAACAACAGTTACTTTCTTCTTTTTTTTTTTTTTGCCTTCCATATGATCTCCTGACAACACTACAATAATTTCCTCAGCATTGGTGGCAACATCTACTCTATAACTGCAACAGCCTTCAGCTTTGCTTACCGCTGTGGAATTCCACACGCACACCTATGTGTGTAGTAAAAACATTTCAGCAAGTAAACTATTTGAAAGGAAAAAAACTAAAAACCACAATTGCCATTACAGGCAATTGTCAAATGGTATCATCATGTATCCTGCTAATAAGAATAGTTTAGGAATAGAAAAGCATTTTAAAACCACACATTTGGAGATTCAAAGTCAAGTGGGAAAGGGCTGTTGAGAAATTCCACATGCCCGAAATACAACAGGACAAGCACTTTGCAACCACCCAGAGCAGCAGTGCTTTCCAAGCACCATCAAGCACAGACTGCACATGTGAAAACTGAATTTTGGTTCTCTCTCCCCTGTACTCTGAATCCTGTTCCTTGGATTCTTCAACTCAAAATGTGACCTGATAATTATGTCCCTTTATATCCCTGAGCAAAGCAAAGATGTGCTACAGGTTTCTGTAGCCACATCCAACAGTTCTTCACCTGGATATTCTGGCTTTGTATTATCCGATCCCAACTCCAAGCAGCTCTTTAAATCAAAAAGCTTAATTACAAGAAAATATTTCTCTACACACGATACTTGCAGATGTGATTTTGGAATTGCACCTGAGTTTCTGTAAATCTTTTCACTCTTTTCTCATAACTTTTGCTAGGTGTGCTAGTATGTTTAGAAGCACATTGGAAGAGAAATATTGGTATTTTTGCCAACCCAAATTTTGTGACAAGTTACCTGTTAATATTACTGTTCACTTACTTGGTATTTTCCAAGGTCTTCTGCATTTTCTTAGTCATCTTCTCAATGGCACTCTGTCTCTTCCCCTCTGGAAGGAGATCTATTTTGTTCAGGACTACCACCATCTTCTGGCAGGCAATTTGCCCAATTACCAAGCACTCTGCTGACTGTGTCTGCATCCCTTTTGTCACATCTATCACAAGCATCATTAAATCGATAATCTGGGCACCTGGAGGAGAAGTCACAGTCAGTATTACCACAGCATAAAAAGATTAAGGATCATTTTCTCAAATAGCTTCCATTTAAAATTGTCAGCATATGTACAAATGCCCAGAAAGACAAACAAAACAGAAGTCAAAGTAAGCACTGAATTCCACAGCTCTTTTGAAATTAAGACCTTGGGAATTTAAGCTATTATAGGCTATCATCGAGTCATAAGAACCAGGGAAGAATGTGATAATTCAAGTCTAAGGCTGTTACCACTGCATTAAAAAAAATACTAAGAAAATTAAGCTTGTAACAACACAGGCATGACACTTGCCTCAATTAAAAATTGTAATCTAAGCAGCCAAGCAAGAATCTAACACAGCCAAAGAAACACACAGCAACACTGCAGCGAGCTGCACACTCAGAGCAATCCCAACACGGGCCAACCAGGTACCCCCAAAAAAACCACCCATAAGCCTCAGTCCCTACTTGGCTCCCACTATTTTTTTTTCTAAGTCCAAAATGTCATTTAAAAAACGTGATCACCACCAGAGACAGGTTTACCTCAAGTCTAAAGAAATTCTTGAATTCCCCAATATTAGGAAGAGGCAATTTAAAACCTGCAGTATATCACACCATTCACTCTCAATTCAGTTCCACATAACCTGAACAAGTAATTTCAAACACAGGAATAGAGATCTGATTCCTAGATCTCTTCATGGGAAGGGTCCTAAATTTTAGGCTGGTGTTGCCTATCATGCTTATGGATTTTTTTTTTTAAAGTATTGTTGTCATGAACCCTAAATCTTTTGATTGAAGCAAACTGAATTTCATGGATTTAAATAAGTTTTCAAGGAAGCTTTTGATGAACATTGGGCCTTCACTAATTACATTCAGATTTTTCTTGTTTCATTTGATGTAACTGAAATACTCTGAATACCAAAATAAAAAAATGCAAGTCTCAAGTGTTGAGAAAATTTAAATATTAAGTAAAATGAAAAATTTAAAGCTGAAGTACTAGGAAGTCACATGCCAAAATAAGCACATTTTTAAAGATGATAAAAGCTAGAAATCATGTAAAATTCCAGCTCTCTAACTTAAGTACTTTTTATATTGGCCTTAAGATCAGAAGAACAAGAAATCAATATAACTGTTCCTTGTTCCTCCACCCTTTCCAGCCTTCCCCTTGCCTTTTTTTCTGCTTTCAAGGCTTTTACAATGGCTATGACAACAGCTACCCTTGTTCCTAATTCCCATGAACTCAGGATAGGAAATCATTCCGAGGTTGAAGTGCACGGGTGAATGAGCGGGTGGGAACTACAAGAAAAAAATTATGGTTACAAATGACTATTTCAACCTACCAGAGCTTTCATCTTGTAATAATGAAAGTCCTTCAGAACACTAGTTGGATAATTTTATTTCCAGTGCCCCTGCAGAATTTTCACCAGTCATTTCAAATATCTATCCCTGACAAATCAAGGATGAGCTTTATAGCTTCAAAAGTAGTTTGCATTTTTATTGTTTTGGGAATTGTATTGCTTTAGAGCTTGCTTAAATTTCAACACAAACATCATCAAGACTGTACAAAAGGCTCAGACTTTATACACCAGTCAAGTGCAGACCTAAAGGTCAGAAACCAAGGGAAACAAATGGCATGAAAATAGTCTGAGTGGGACAAAGCACTTAACAATCAGAATGGATCCATTTTTGTGAATGCATACAACAGAGCTGCTTTAAACTTAACACACATTTTGTATTACAATATTCTACAGAGCTGACATCCTTAAAAGGAATGGGAAGAAATAATAAAAACCAAATCATCAGGTCCAATTCTTTATTAATACTATAAAAAGGACATTCTGGTAACACAACAATGCTGCAGCTTAAGCCTTACCAAACATTACAGTGGCCAGTAAAGCACAGCAACCCTCATGCTCCAAAACTAATCCAAAGCAACCAGACCCAAACCTGGCCTCGAAAAGGGCAGCTGATAAGATGCATTATGTATAGTGCGGTATTTTTCCCTCCAAAATAACACAAAATCTACACTGAACTGTAATATGCAGTTTTGGTAAAAGGTGTCACTTGACCTTGAAACTCTAAATCAACTGATTCAAATTCATTTGTTATAAAGCAAATGCTTGCAATTGCTGTATTTATGAATCTATTAGCAATACTTTAAAAGAGCCATAAAAATCATCAACCCAGTTGCTAAAAGGTCAAGAATGTCTCCATAGGGCATTGCATAGCAACAAGAAGATGAACAAGGAAAAATAACTGTAACAATTACTGATATTAATAATTTAAAATAACTAATAATTAAAAACAACTGAATAATTCCGTGGGAAAATTCCAGAAACACCAGAAGACATACCATGACACTCGAGACAAAAAATACTTCAAATCAAGCAAAGCAGCAGCACACTCAAATTCACAAACACTGTCAGCACAATTATTGTGCCTCCTCCAAACCCCAACTACTGACTGGCCACAGCTCCTAAGAGATGGCCCAAGATGGGACAGAAGGCAAGGCAGGCAGAGCTGGCACACGGGCAGGGTGGGAGGGTGGAGGCTGCTGCCCTTCACTGGAGTCGTGGAGACAAGGCAAAAACCACGACAGCATTGACAGAAATACCTGAACTGCCTTCTCAGCAAGGCATGAGGATGTTTTGTGATGTTTTGGAGGTGTCTACTTGTGCAAATCAAGGCAGGAGTGCTCAGGTTTACAGGACCCTTAAGTAACAAGGCAAAAAATAATGCTAAAACTTAATTCCTCAACTTTCCTTTCTGAGCTGTTTAATAAACCATCTTTGTCAATTCACCTTCTTCCCCATCCCACATCTTCTCCTACACAGTTTTACATTTTGGTTTATTCTAGAACTCATTTCTGTCATTGCCCATCAGCCATGCATAAAGTTCATTAACTACTAAAACAAAATCATCTAGAGAGTGTACAAGGACTCACCAATGTCACATTTCAAATCAGGAACGCTGGCAAGATGACAAAACTGTAACCCTCTCCCACTTACACAGAACACCTTATTCAATACATCTTCTCCTAACATATAAATGGTAATGGCAGATTCAGAATATGTTTAACTTCAAATTCACTACTTAAAAATCTCTAGTAAACAATCAGCTTATTATCATATCAGAGTTCAGTCAACAAAAGGAACAATATTTCTGAATGATTTTCTGCAGCACAGTAAGATTTAACAAGGAACAGTGAATCAAGGATGGATTGTATCAGTCTCATGAATACAATCTCACTCAAAGATTTTTCAATTGGGACATAAAAATATTGCAGATATACTATGTGTAGACTCAAAAACCAGTAAAAATAATAAAAAAGGTGAAAATTTTACTCACACCTGCACTATATGACAATAAAATGTCAGCCATGGGGTTTTGTGCAACATAGAACAGAAGAACCGAAAGAACAGAGAATTGAACTCCTCAAAAACAGAGATAGAATATGGGCCTACACAGTTAAGAATAGTAATAGGGAAGAGATTATGGATGATTCGAATATTCCTCAAGCCTTCAGAGCAAGAAAATGGCTTGAAATTACTGAAATTACTTTGAACAAAGCAGAGACACACACAAAGGACAGGTGCATATACAGACAAAGGTCTGCATACAAGCTAGTACAGCAATCAAAAGTATTTTATCTGCACTGAAGCAGGTCACAGAATCAATGAAAAAGTTAAACTAAGATACTCAAATTATTTCTTCTACAGAGAAAACAGGGGTGTAACCTTTTATTTGCCACTTCACCTATGAAAGACATGTTCAAGAACACTGAGAAAGATAAATCCTGACATGTGATTTCTCACTTTGCTTGAAAATGAAAGATCAATTATTGGAGTACCCTTTGTGTGATGACACACAGCTCAGATGAAGCCCTGTAAAAAGCAAATGAAATAAACAAGTTGTCATCAGAAAACACAAGGGGGTGGAGAAAGATGGGAATTATACTTCAAAGATAAGCAGCTAAACCACAGCAAAAATAAAGTAGATAGTCTGAGTAAAGAAAAACAAACAAGAAAGATAAAACATGAACTGAGAGATTCTGGATGACAGCCAGATACAGGAAAAACACAAGACCAGCAGCACAGCATCACAAAGACTGCAAGTGCCAGCTAAACCTGGAGGCAGCAGCACTCATTTGTATCACAAAAGTGACAGGGAACACAAAACTCAGAAAGTAAGAAAAATACTTCACAGGCAAGATAAAGAAAAGGTCCAGCTACTGCTTTGAACACCAACTCCTGAATTTTGAGGAGTATCTGATTATAAAAAGTCATCAAGGAAGTAATTTATTACTCTTTACTCAGGGGATGAGCTGAATCACAGATGTCAGAGATTATGACAAGTTTCTAAAGAGCAGAAGGCAGCAGCTCAAGCTCCCCTTAAGTGGCCATCAGCTCAGTTTTTTCATTCTTAACCAGCTCTCACTCTTGGATGCTGACAGAACATCATCTGCTACCTGAGTACATTGAAAAAGAATAGTATGCATTTTAAAAGTATGTATTGATGAACTTTTAATCTTTAGGAGAAAATTCACTGCATTCTCTATATTTGCATTTTTTACTATATCTTCAAAACTTCTCTGAAATATGAAAAAAGTCTACCCAGGGTTCTAGATAACAAGGCTGCAGACCTTCATGCCCTTCATCAAATTCACTCCTCATAAATGTGCTTAGTGCCACACACAATTAGCAAAAACCAGCTCTTATACCAGTGTTCACAGGGAAACACCATGGAAGTACCCAAGACATCAGATACATTTTCAAAAACTACAATTGCCACGTTTTATTCAGGAACAGAACATTACATCTTAAATAAAAAACCTCCTTCAACCTCAACCACAGAAGCTGTTGCAGTTCTGCACGTACATGAACTCAAAACACCTTCCATTTGTGCAGCATGTTGCATGTTTGTAAATTTTATACCCAAACTCCCACACTGAATCGTGTCCCCACAGCCAAATATAATATTAACACTAATTTCGAAAAAGAT